GGTGACAGCCGATCGGTTACTCATTGCACAGCCTAAACTTGCCACATGCACACTTGCACTTGCACGGCTGGTTATCGTACGTGGCGTCACTGTAAAGCTTCTTGAGCAGTAAAGTTGTTCGAATTCAGTCAGTCTTCACAGACTTGTTATTTGGTGATCCTTCTGGTGTTGAGACAGCAACTAGCTCTAACAGAACGGGAGGAGGGAGCCTTATAACTGATCGGCGAGCGCCAATCTACAGTTGTTAATATTCCCGATCGAAAAACCGGCAAGACAACGAACCCATGCTGCACTAGGTAAGAGGGTTAGACTTATAACCAAAAAGTCCCGGATTCGAGCCTCGGTTGGTTCACTACCTGAGGTTGGATATGACTAATTGATGACGGCTAATAAGCCAGAAATCGTCATGGGAGCATGATAAACATGTTTTCCGAGTACCGCCTATGCCAGAAATTTTAATTTCAATTATTTGCGGTCTAGCATTAGTAATATTATTGTGTACATTGATCTTCGCGCATACAAGTACAAACTATACTGCATGTCAAGTAGGAAATTGATATAAAAAAATGTATCGCGATGCATGCTGGTGTCATACAGTCGCACAAGACAAGTTACCTTTAGTGTAACAACCAGCGTGTCCAATGGGGAATTCTCAAAGACGCATGCGTAGGCTGGCTGTGCAGGGTGCGTCTGGAAGCCACCGTCGGGTAGAGACCCAATTCGGCCCAAGGACTGAATGCACTCCTTCGAAGGCGATCGCAGCACCTTTATTTCGGGTGCCTCATCATTTTCATCCACGACAACGATGTTTACGAGGGCCTCACTCGATCGCGCGTAACTAGGCTCTGCCTCATCCCGCACCAGGACTTTAAAATTGAATTCCATTGCCTTCTGCTTGGGATACATACTGTCCGGTTTCCTGGACCCACCGCCCTCCAGCATCCTCCACTGCCGATCAACGTCCAGAGGATTTTGAACAACTATCTTGCCATCAGGCCGCACATTGAACAGATGATGTGCAAGGGCCACTTGAGGCAGCCAGCCAGCGGTGGGAGCAAAGGAGAAACGAAAGGCCCCGTTGTTACCCGAGTCCGCATCCGTAGCAGTCAGCTCAAGGATCACAGTTCCCACTGGCGTTGTCTCCAGCACTGGTTGGGACGGCATGAATACAGGTCGAGTGAACTTGGGATCATTGTCGTTGATGTCCTGAATCACCACCTTTAGAGGCAGCGAAGCTGTGTGTGGCCGACGATAACGATTGGGAGTCTGAGCATCTAGGGAGGTCTTCGATACGGAGTCAGTAGCTTTAAGAATCAGCCGGTAGGAACTGGCCTCCTCGTGATCCACTTCTCGAGTTGTCTGCAGATAAAGGCCCTCGGTGGGATTGTGCACTAGATAGAATGGTAGGTTATTCCAGTCGTCCTCCTTCTCCACGCCCTGATACCCTGAAGGGTCGCGGCCCAGGGTGTAGGTGATTTGGGCATTCTCGTCCCGATCAAGGTCGATGGCCAATGGCAGACTTTGGCGCTTTCCTGCCGGATCACCGTCACGAAACTCAATCACGTGGCTCTGCAGGTTGTTTGGCCAAAAGGGTTCATTGTCATTGACATCGATGACGACAATGCGGATCTCAAGGATAGCATCTTGGCCATTGGGAAAAAGTGAGGCGATTGTGGGGGTTGAACCCGTTGCTGCACTAACAGTCGTCTCCGGTTGTTGCGTAACAGCGATCTTCAGTACGAAGGAGCACTGCTCGTCGCCAGTGCCGAACATGGATTTAGAACCAGTCATCATAAGTCTCCTTGCAGCCTCGCCGGAAGACGGGTTCAGAGACCTCGACACGTCCGGGAAGGAGTCTACGCCAAGCAGAAGAGGCAGTCCATAGGAAGGGCATATTTCTTCTCGATCAATTCTGCGGGCAACCAATAGTCTACCGTTTTCGGATACCTGCAATGTAGGAAGGGAAAAGGGAGGGACTTTTTAGAAAACTAGATCAGCGAGTAGGTTGACCTTTCCTTTATCAAACCAATAAGAACTGAAATTGACTAAGATTTACGCAAAATGGCTGGCAATAACATTAAAATAGTATATGTTACAGGGGCTAAAAGTTGTTTAACGTAAGCAGCCTTGTCGAACCTGATTTACAACGTCAGATAGGCTCGTTTTAAGGCCTATTTTCGGGGACCTTATACACGTATGGGAATCTAAAGTTACGAGAATATCATAATGGAAATGAGCCCCGACGCAAAACGGAGAACTACAGACAGCCTATCAGCAGAAAACCATTATTCTTTATCCCCACGTAAACCTTCGCCATACTCAACGGCTGGCCTCAACGTGCACTTAGGATACGCCCCTACGTCTTCCTTACAACAGCATACCCCTACAGAAGCTTGATATCCCAGTCAGCGCGGCTGTTAATATCAGGTTTTTAACCCTCTAACCCAGATGTCGGGAACCTTTTTGATTCAGTGAGCCAAGTAAATATTTATTTATTATTTATTTACTTAAAGCAAATATTTGGAAATATTTCAGTGAGAGACATATAATATAGGTTAAGATTGAATTCAATTAAATGTCAGTATAATAGGCCTCTGGATTTATTCCTTTAAATCACAAAATCTGAAGTTTCTAATTTTATCTGAGAAAGCTAGATGCAATCATCAAAAGAGCCACATCTGGCTCGCGAACCATATGTTCCCGACCCCTGCTCTAACCTATGCAATGAGAACTCCTCTGTGGCTTGAAACTACAAGATGGAGGCTCAGGCCCGCACACTCTTAGGGCAGAAATGCTTTACCACGGTGCTGTGTTCTACTTCATAGGTCTGGAGGACGAATTAGAAGCCGGTTTTTATAACGAGGAAATTCGACTTACCTCGACAAGTCTGGACGTCGGATCTTCTGAATTGATGACTTTGAACCTATTCCAGAGTTTGCCCGATGGTTTTGAGTCTTTCCAGAGGGCTCGATTAAGGTCCGCAATAGTTGTACCGATTGGCACCTCCTCATATATCTGAAATTCCAGTTCGTTTACCATCGCAGCTGTCTGATGAAGCAAGGTGGCGGGGAGGAGAATAACAAACAGCAGCAAAGTCGCGTGGAGCGAAAATCGAGATTCCGCCTTCCTCATATTCGTGATGATGATGATGATGATGATGACGATGATGCGTGCACAACTGCGGAGACTATTCGTTTCAAGTAGGCCTGTCCGGAGAGCAGGAGAGGGTGGGTAGCTGCGCAGAGGAAATGCGGAAACGGGTGAAGGGGGGTGGAGGAAACGGAGAGCGAGAGAGAGGGGGGAGTGGAGCATATTTACAAGACATTGTTAACCAAAGTTATCTGGTCGGCATCTCTTGCAGGCAGGATTTGATAGCTGCACAAAGAGCCGATCCTATCGCACGGTCGCCCAGGAGAACGCC